ATTGAGGAGTCGCAGAGGAATGCCGTCAGGAATAAAGACAAATGCAGTGTTTCTTGAGGTGTAGTCATTAGTTATAATTAGAAATCAATTGTTTTTTCATGAAATCTTTTATACTTTTATTTTTAATCTCTGTTTTAATTTATTATATGAAATATTTGAGCCTTTTGTTTGATTAATGGGATAATTATGTGTTTAATGAAAATGATATGAAATGTTAATTATATATAAAAATCTTTGAAATCATTTAATGTGTAATAAAATGAAACATTCTCTCAACAAATAAAATGCAAAATTGTTATAAAAAACAAATTCAAACTATAATTAAATTTAATAATAATAAATCATTTAAAAAACTTTAGTCTCATTTGGTTGCTTTTTGTAAATAATAAACAGGATTTCTATATAAAAAACTTTTTAAATACACAGCAATTCATTGCTATTCATATGAAATAATTATATAAAAAGAGGAATATTTATAATTCTATACATAAAATGCATAATAAATTAATATTAGAAAAGAGGATATATTTTATTGCATTTAATTTGAATCGTTTCGAGCGTTTAGTCCCTATTATTAAAGATAAATCTTTATCTGTATTTGTGGCACAAAATAATCAATTATAACACTAAACGGTTAGTCAACTGTTGGACACAACCATTAACTACTGATTACTATCCCATAAACACTTCTTATATATTCATAGCCCTTAACGTCCTCATGAGTGCACTCAAAGAAGTGGCTAAACTGGTCGCGTGGTTCATAAGTAAGCCCATGTAGGGGCTGGTCGATGGCGAACACACGTTATCATGCAGTTTGTGGACAGTGTCGACGGTATAGGCATAAGTGGCCGCAACTTCTTTAAGCCGGTCCACGAGACACGTGATCAGTGCCTGACTTTCCATATTCAATAGGACTATCTCTCCCACGCTATACATGCGCTCCAGAAGTGTCACGCAATCCAACAGATACTCCAAGAGTTGGGGCGAGGCTTCGGTGGCGCACTTGACGAACAACTTGGAAGCGGTCACGAAATGTCTCGATTCAGTCACCAGTGCCTCCTTGGCCGCCACGAAGTCCTCTTCAGTGCACTCAAACACCTGACTAGATGTGAGTCTCTTGTCGTGAACCTCTTCCAGACGGGCCAGCAGTACATCGATGTCTCGCTGCGATTGAATGAATATCTCGTCCGTCTGTTGGCGGACGGCCTCCGATGCCGTACAACCATTCATACCATTCATCATTGGCTCCGGTATTATATTCTCCACAATAGAATGATAGCCGTTATGGTGACTATGTTTCGCACTTCTGTGGTGTTTAGGACTGGTATTGGATTTCATAGCCATTTGTCTTCGCTTCTCTTGTATGGATGGAGAACAGGGAGGTATCGGAGGTTTTGTACATTTAGTGGGCGGAGAGGGAGGCGTCGGCGGCCCGTTCACCGGTAAAGTACTCCAGGAGTGGGAACGGGAAAAATGTGGCGACTCTTTGCCCGACGCGTGGTTCACACCATTCATGTGATGACTAATTCTTTGCAGATCTTCGCAGCTGTTGCTCGCACTCGAAGTTTTGTCCAGTTTTTTGCAATTTGTTTGCTTTTGAACGAAAGAGTTCTCACTTTCGGACGTCGAGTTCACTTCAATCACAGTCGGGAGGGAGAGCTTCGGTGAGCCATTCTCTGCAAATACGGGCCAATCGGTGGTCGACGAGGGAAATGAGGCCGAAGTGAAGGCAGAGTCGTAACCCGATTCACCGGAACTACTGCTGTGAACCTCCCGCTTGAAAAGTCTCGGACTTATGTCGTTTGAACACATTTTCCTGATGTCGTCGGTCACTCTCCAGAACTTTGCGATCACATCGTCCTGTGCTCTGGTCATCGATGGACTCGCACTCGGAGGGGGAGGTATGATAAACGAAGACAAGTACTGCTCATCGTTGGACATATGGTCGTTAACCATCGGCGGTGGTCTCACAGTCATTGACTCAATGAAGTCATCGATGTCTTGCGGCATGTATTGCAAGTGTTGGCTCGTGTTTGAGTTGCGATCGCTGGCCGTGGACTGCATTTCGGACAAAGTGTCGCACAAGTCGTCCAATTCGGCCACAACTCGGGCCGAGTCGTCGGTCGCAAAGTCAGTAAAGTCTATGTCCTCCTTATAAGGCGTCGGCGGGTCATCAGTGGTGGGAAACCCTATTCCAGAACCCATGAACTCGACCTCCAGGCCGTCGGGCGTGTCTGGAGGTGGGAGTGCCGTCAAGTCAATCATCTCGGAGTCCAAACATATATCGTTTGAGAACTTGAGTTTGAATTCGGCCTCAGATTTCAATTGCTGGAGACTATCCATGAGGTCCTGTTCCGCGCGACTCAGGTTCGGGTAGACATCAGGACTGTGTAAACCAAAACTCGTGGACTGTGTCCGGGGGCCGGACGTACCGTTCACAGTAACCCCACCGTTAGACAACTGCAACGCATTCATACTGTTCTGGATATTAATCCTATGCAAAGGACTTTCGTTAGGACTCATGAGACTATCGGTGTCGCTCTCATTGGCAGATAATTCTCCATTAATGACATCCCGTCCTATTGAGAGGCAACACATTCGCAGATAAGTATTCACTCAAAAATGTTTTTCATTAAAAAATCAATTAAATAATGAAAATACCGTTTTGTTTGTCATTAGAACCGTTGATATCTGTGTTACCATTCATTTGCGTCGTCAA